CAGGTTTACATTCGGTTGTACCAGGGAATACTTTAGCAGCTTTACTTTCTGTTGCACCAGGGAATGTTTCAGCATGTTTACAATCTGTTGTACCAGGGAATGTTTTAGCAGGCTTACATTCTGTTGTACAAGGGAATGTTTTAGCAGGTTTACATTCTGTTGTACCAGGGAATGTTTTAGCAGGTTTACATTCTGTTGTACCAGGGAATGTTTTAGCAGGTTTACAATCTGTTGTACCAGGGAATGTTTTTGCAGGTTTACATTCAGTTGTACCAGGGAATGTTTTAACAGGTTTACAATCTGTTGTACCAGGGAATGTTTTAGCAGGTTTACATTCGGTGATACCAGAAAATGTTTTAGCCGGTTTACAATCTGTTGTACCAGGGAATGTTTTAGCAGGTTTACAATCTGTTGTACCAGGGAATGTGTTAGCAGGTTTACATTCGGTGATACCAGAAAATGTTTTAGCCGGTTTACAATCTATTGTACCAGGGAATGTTTTAGCAGGTTTACATTCTGTTGTACCAGGGAATGTTTTAGCAGGTTTACATTCGGTGATACCAGAAAATGTTTTAGCCGGTTTACAATCTGTTGTACCAGGGAATGTTTTAACAGGTTTACATTCGGTTGTACCAGGGAATACTTTAGCAGCTTTACATTCTGTTGCACCAGGGAAAGTTTCAGCATGTTTACAATCTGTTGTACAAGGGAATGTTTTGGCAGGTTTACAATCTGTTGTACCAGAGAATGTTTCAGCATGTTTACAATCTTTTGTACTAGGGAATGTTTTAGCAGGTTTACATTCTGTTGTACCAGGGAATACTTTAGCAGCTTTACATTCTGTTGCACCAGGGAAAGTTTCAGCATGTTTACAATCTGTTGTACCAGGGAATGTTTTAACAGGTTTACATTCGTTTGTACCAGGGAATACTTTAGCAGCTTTACATTCTGTTGCACCAGGGAATGTTTCAGCATGTTTACAATCTGTTGTACAAGGGAATGTTTTGGCAGGTTTACAATCTGTTGTACCAGGGAATGTTTTAGCAGGTTTACCTTCTGTTGTCCCAGGGAATGTTTTAACAGGTTAACAATTTGTTGTATCAGGGAATGTTTTAACAGGCTTACAATCTGTTGTAACAGGGAATGTTTTAGAAGGTTTACATTCTGTTGTAACAGGGAATGTTTTAGCAGCTTTACATTCTGTTGCACCAGAGAATGTTTTAGCCGGTTTACAATCTGTTAAAACATTCCCATGTACAACAGATTGTAAGCCTGTTAAAACATTCCCTGATACAACAAATTGTTAATCTGTTGTACCAGGGAATGTTTCAGCAGGTTTACAATCTGTTGTACCAGGGAATACTTTAGCAGCTTTGCATTCTGTTGCACCAGAGAATGTTTTAGCAGGTTTACAATCTGTTGTACCAGGGAATGTTTTAACAGGTTAACAATTTGTTGTACCAGGGAATGTTTTAACAGGTTTACAATCTGTTGTACCAGGGAATGTTTTAGCAGGTTTACATTCTGTTGTACCAGGGAATGTTTTAGCATGTTTACAATCTGTTGTACCAGGGAATGTTTTAGCAGGTTTACAATCTGTTGTACCAGGGAATGTTTTAGCAGGTTTACAATCTGTTGTACCAGGGAATGTTTTAGCAGGTTTACAATCTGTTGTACCAGGGAATGTTTTAGCAGGTTTACAATCTGTTGTACCAGGGAATGTTTTAGCAGGTTTACAATCTGTTGTACCAGGGAATGTTTTAGCAGGTTTACAATCTGTTGTACCAGGGAATGTTTTAACAGGTTAACAATCTGTTGTACCAGGGAATGTTTTAACAGGTTTACAATCTGTTGTACCAGGGAATGTTTTAGCAGGTTTACAATCTGTTGTACCAGGGAATGTTTTAACAGGTTTACAATCTGTTGTACCAGGGAATGTTTTAACAGGTTTACAATCTGTTGTACCAGGGAATGTTTTAACAGGTTTACAATCTGTTGTACCAGGGAATGTTTTAACAGGTTTACAATCTGTTGTACCAGGGAATGTTTTAACAGGTTTACAATCTGTTGTACCAGGGAATGTTTTAACAGGTTTACAATCTGTTGTACCAGGGAATGTTTTAACAGGTTTACAATCTGTTGTACCAGGGAATGTTTTAACAGGTTTACAATCTGTTGTACCAGGGAATGTTTTAGCAGGTTTACAATCTGTTGTACCAGGGAATGTTTTAGCAGGTTTACAATTTGTTGTAACAGAAACATTCCCCTATACAACAAACCATAAACCTAGTGCTACATGTTCTTCTCTGGTACAATATAATAAATGACATTAAACAACAAACTGATATAATGAAACATTCCCTGGAAGATACAATAAATAAAACCAGTTAAACTCTTTACTTGTATTTACCTTTCTTTTTGGGAGCTCCCATTCCTACATGTACATCATCTTTTATCTTACTGGCGAGCTCACGGACTGATGCCCCTCTGTGTTTGTTGATCTCTTTCCTAGCAGCTAGTGGTGGGTCTTCCTTTACCTTGGCAGGCTTTGGTTTTTCTATTACCTGTACAAATACATTCTGAGGATATCAAACGGCAACCCATTTATCACCATGTATAAGAATATATAGAATTTATCACATGAATTGGTTTTGTTCAGGGTTTAACAGCCTTACAACAGAACGTTCATGTAAATGAAGACTGGATGCCTAGCTAGAGATGTTTATGGAAAAGAAAATATATAGGTCCCTAGCTAGGTCCCATGTGCCAAATGTTGCATTGGGGGGGCAGCAGATTTTTGCTTTCTTCAACATACTCCCTTATTTTAATATAAGCAAAAAGATTATAAGAACCACACCAACCACATCCTCATTCTGCAGGGGGGTCTACATTAGTTACACTCAGGAAATATAATTATATTCTAAATATTATTATTTATGACAATACAAATCACGGTCAATCATTCATTATACAAGGCGGAACCCTCATGTAAACAACTCTGTCTATTGATGTAACAATAGTGTTGTTACTTTATTTTGGTATACAGTCCAATAAAATAACTGATTATACAATCAATTACGACCGAACCACTACTTCAGATTACCGGTATAAACCAATTATTTGTTATGATTTTAAACTGATCATCCGGCACTAGTACTTTATATGTGTATTTCCCACAGTCATGGTTAACATATTTTTGCTTTCCCTACCTGCATTTATACCCATATCCTTTTCTTGGCTAATTTCAAACAAGCATTGCTAAAACTGTCTTTCTAACAATTAATAAACTAGCAAAACAAATCAATTTCAAATGTATTAGCCCTGTCATAAAAAATCAATTATTTTCCATGGACAATTTTGGTGCTGCAATGTTACATAATCTTGATTTACCTGTTAGATTCTGTTCTCTCTTTCTAGCCTTTGGACAATTCAATTTTACCTTGACAAAGTTGTCTGGGAACATGCCCACTTTGCCGCTGAGTTCCCCTTCCCACCAGCCTCCCTCAGACATAGTGACATTTTTGAGGATGTCTCCAACTTTAATGGTGAGCTCATCTTCCTGTTCTGCTACATACTCAAATGTCACTTCCACTTCCACTGTAATAGAGAGTACATCCACTATCACAAGTGTCCAGCATTAACAGACATCACTCAGGAGCGTACACATTTATATTTCAAAGAATTCTACCAATTCTAACAGTACTAGCCCTTAAAATATCCAAGCATTTTGTATGTGAACTTCGAAGCATGATACCTTAATTAGCATGATAATAATAATAAAATCAAAAGGAGTGGGGACAACATGGCAGAATATTTCACTTAAGTTGAATTTAATTTCTAACCTTAACTTGGTGACATGTAATATGTCATCAGAACAACCATATCATTTGAATGTCCTCATTTTACCACTTTCCTTATAGAGGGGGAAAACTTTATCCATTTTTTCTGATTTCACCTTTAAACATTTGAAAGATAACCTATAGAAATATTTTCGGGAATTTATGTGTTTCAATTTAATGCATTGTTATAACAATTGCGATGCTGGGATGGTGGGGCAAGACACACATTCACAGACAAAAAATGTTTATTGTCCAAAATGATGAGTATGTACATTGTGAATTCCACTTACATAGACATTAACTTTCCAATAAGCAATTAAAATTATGTCACCAGTTATCCATACCCTGCATTAATCTAATGATTTTTCCTGGCCTTAGTGGTCTTAGTTAATTTTGAAGGGAACAACAATCTGGGCCAATGAAATTAAATTTTAGATGATCATTGTGATAAAACCCCTAACCCATAATAATTATATGACTTTTTATATATATATAGTTCAGTAAATAAATAACATGCATATATATATGTTGATGTTGGAAAAAATGGTAAAGGGCTGATTAGGATGGTTGACAGGACTGCACAATTCAACTAGTCCAGCGGGTTATCTTATCATTTACCCTGAGGCAATATAGATACAGATTTGTTATATTACAGTGACTATAACGATTAGAAATGAAATATTCACATGTGATAATTTCACAAACCTCACCATTTTGCCCGACACAATACAATTTTTTGTATGTGTATCTTGGATGCTAGTAACTGTAGAACATCTGTGGAGGTGGGTTAAATGTTGGAAAACAAATCATGCACAATTCTCCAGTATGTGAGTCAATATTAGGTAATTATTTCAGTCACATGTTTTGTTCTTGAATTAGTATACTGTAACGAGTGTCCAATGCCATGTTTCACCGGCCACAGTCAATAAAGTATGGGGGTTCTTGTTTCACCAATCTAGTGTACATGTGCTAATTCCTGGATTATGACAGCTGGATAGGTTTTATCTCTTCTACATGTCACAGCCAAGGACAATGGTCAGAAATAGTCAAGTAATCTAATTTATCCTCTGTGAAAACTAGAAATATCAACTAAGACCTCAAAAGACAGGTACAAATATAATTAATTTTAAATGAATAAATAGATTAGCAAGGTATATTTACAGAATACAGATGAGTATATAAGATAGTACTAAAAAGGCATCAACACAGGTCCTTGCACCAGACAATAACAATGCATATGTTATTGTAGACACAACCACTCTGAAGAAATAATATAATAGACAAAACTAACTGACAGTGTAAAATACCCAACAAATCACCAGAGCTAATTACTATAAGCTGCATTAATTATAATCCGATACATCTACGTAGCCTAGGAAACCTTTAACTAGGAGATAATTTGTTATAAAATGACCAACTCTGCTATAAATAGCCAAATACTGGGATTTCCCCTGATATCTGATAAGGATGTGAGCAGTAAGCCTTATAGCTACAGATTTAGAGTAAGAGAGATACCTATATGTAAATTTCAACTTCCAGAGGCGACTGTGTGCCAGCAAATTAAGACAGTGTGAACTAAGAAAAAGGTCAGATACAACCTTCAAAATATTACTACTCAGGAGAGGTCTGGTGATCATTAGTTGGGAGAGGTCCGGAGACACTCTATTCCCCATAAGATTGCATGTAATAATAATAAACCTGATCACACATTGTCTCTCATAATGTTCACTCAAACAATAAGTGCTTCGTGCTCAAATTTTTGTACAGAGGATAAAAAATACATGTTTGGTATCTCTTACTTAATGCCGCTAAAGCTAAGGATTAAAAATAAACAGAATTTATGGGATTCCGTGCTGTAGTGACGTCAGACGCTGGTTAGAGTTATAGAAACTCTTGAGAAGTCTCTGAGAGGTGTCTCCAACCGATCAAACCTCCTCAATGTCACGAAAAGACATAAACTGTGGCCAAAATATGTTAGCAAACACTTTTACATATAGGATTGAGTTAATGTCATTCAACTACAGTTGCTTAATTAGTACAAGGCTAAAAGTTGAAGAATTAAAGTAGTCAGCTTCCAAAACGGCGGTGTCGACAAATATTTGATCAGATGCTGATGAGAGGCTTAATAAACACAAAATTTATAGAAAAGTTATATGTTATTTCTACAATGTTCTATAGTTGTAATTTGACCAATCATCATTTAAAGGGACAATTTAGTGAAGTAAATTCTGATTATATAAAGTTTGATATTCCTTATGAACAATTCATGTCGAGAAATTGACAAGATGCAATGTTTTCTTGGCGTTTTTAATCAGTAAAGGAGAAATTCTTAACTGTACAGCCGTATGTTTTAGCAGCAGCTGTCAGTGATTTCTAGCTAACAAAAATGCCTTTCCAGCCAATGAGAGAAGGTAATGTCTCGCTTTATGCACCTAGCCTCTCTGAATACAAGCTACATGCATCTATTCGAATTCTGAATCAAAATCATCTTCCAAGAGCATTTCAAAAACATCAACTATTTCATGTTTAAGCCTATTGATATTGTACTTTCTGCGGTTTGAAATTCTCCCTGCGGCACCCTCTTAGTGCATGCATGCTCTAATTGAGCTTGTTCGTTTTTATTCAAATCCAAATATGAACAGAAATATCTTAGAGGTATATATTATGATACTTATGTTTCTTACTTGCAATGTATTGTGTAAATACAAGAATGTGTGAACTCAAGTCCGCATATAATGACATTGTTGCAGGTCGACAGCTTAGTGCTGTACATGTTAACTCGTCACTAAAGGCCTGCATATTGCGTTATTTCGGTCGCAGCTATTTTTATCACCGGCTTTCTCAAAAGATGAAACTGACCACACTGGACATTAGCTTCAAGTTATGTCTTTATCAACTACGTAAACTTTCGTTAGGAGATGTATACTTTCAGTATCGACTTGATTTTCAGGTTGTCATTTGGGTAAATAGCCCCTTTACAAACACTATGAAATAGACACTGATGTTATTCATGCAGTGAAAACCCGGTCACACAGGCAAACAGTGATATGTAAACAAATCAACTTTAGGGTCGAGACAGCAGTGGATAAGTAAAGGTTATTGCATGGTTTTTTGAGTAACAAGGGATTTATTACACCCAAGCGAAGCGAGGGTGTAATAAGTCCCGAGTGACGAGAAATCATGCAATAACTGGCTTACTGCATGCTTCCCAACTCGAACAAAACAGAAAAGTTGAGTAAAAAATGTTCACCTGGACAATCTTTTTACCTACCCTACACTGCAGATAATTTACATGTACCTATGTGAGTGAGTACTAATCATAACCAGGTAAGATTCTCAATAGCCCAGTCTGAGTGTATCCTTCATAATGGATACAAGTGTTTTTGGATTACTATCCAGGTCCAGTGTCAGGGAAGGTAAGGAGTGTCTGTTCAAAATACGGGAAACAATGTTGAATTTCTGACTACATTTTCAGTTTAATTTTCAAGATGTGGCAAAGGTACAGGATATTGAAACCATTTTCATATATACAATGTAAGGGTTTATCAATCCCTAAGGAATTCCAGTTCTTTCAATGAATGGTATATTTGAATGTGCAATTTTGTATAAAGGAACAGCTCCTTAAGATTATAAACTTTTCCGGGAAATGCTTATCCTCTCACGTGATAAGGAAATCTGTTTGTGTTTTTCAATCATGAAATTACCATTTTTAACTTTCATTTTTTCCCCTTATTTGAAATGTGTCAACTAAGTTTATCCTCTACTGTATTGACTTCATCGTTACTCACTGATTGATTATCTCCCCTTTCTTACAGCATTTGTGGCCACAGTCCACTGGGCACACCCCCTTTCATGGTCATGTAATCATGATTGGCCTTGAAAGGGGATTATGTGTGCAGTGGGCTGTGGTAGCAAGTGATTTATTGCCCACACTTTTCCATTGTGAGAGGTGGGAAGTATGCAGTAAGCTGAGGTCACCACTTTTATACGGGGTCGAGACAACAGTGGATGAGCTGAGGTCACCACCATTATACGGGGTCGAGACAACAGTGGATGAGCTGAGGTCACCACTATTATACGGGGTCGAGACAGCAGTGGATGAGCTGAGGTCACCACTATTATACGGGGTCGAGACAGCAGTGGATGAGCTGAGGTCACCAATATTATACAGGTTGACACGTTACATTACCCCCAACTTTAAAAAACTGAATGTCCGGTCAAGGTATCCAGCTGACATACATGTATTTATGGGCAAACAACACATACATATACAACATTTACACAACCAAAATGTTAACTGGATAAATGTTAATTGAACATCATTCAGAATCAAGCATCACATCAACATAGATGGCTCACTCACTCAACTGTTTGTATTGGACCTTTTAAAACACAGACAAAAATAAACCATAGCTGTGAAAGCATTTCCGGATTGAAACCAAACAATCTAAGTATATTTTCCTATACTTGGTAAGTTGGTAGTATTTACACAAAATAATAAGAACTTTGATAAATGATCACTTAACACATGTACTTACAGGCTTCCTGCTTCCTTAATGGTTACTGCAAAAATTATTATAAATACCCTGCAGATATAATACACACTGCAGATATATATTACAAAAAGATAAACTGAGATCCCATTCCCCAGCTACTTATATCATAATAAACTGCAGTGGCGGATCCAGAGGTTTTTTTGGGCTTCAGGAACCCCCCACCCCCACCCTGAGAATTTTCTTTAAAAATCATGTATTTTCACCAATTTCCTCAATTTTTCCCCACATGGAAATCCCCTCAGGAAATTTGGAAACCCCCTCAGATAGGTCTCTGGATCTGCCACTGAACTGCAAGGGTATGCTTATTAAACACTATTTAAACCATTCATGGCGATGTGTTGCCATGAATTCATTTAACAAAACTGAGAAGCATGACATTTCAATATTATCTGACTCGTCCATTCACACAACTCTTTTTACAACAACGGCAGAGTATTGCAAGACAATCCATAGTCCCCCACCGGTAATGATTTCTATATTTAACAAACAGTACACTTATGTCAGAAAGTATATAGGTCACAGTAAGGATATAGTGACCTACTTATTGTACTCCGATGTTCTTGTACACCAAATCTGGTTACTCCAGATGAAAGAGTATAGAAGCTATGCCCCGGATTGATGCAATATATACAACAGGTCTGATGCCTATAGCTATAATAACATACACACTACAATACGCTGTACCATGGCCTCTGAGAATTTGACCAAGCAGGCAGAAATGTGATTTGGATTTCATCTAAGGTCACCTAAATTGATTTAACAACTCATTCAATTTAGGGACTGTTAAAAAAATATTTGTTGTTTATTTTATTAATACTTACTTACAAAGTATATTGGTACCATAGTAGCTTGATATTATAGTTTAATTACATGTATTACTAAAATAGTTGAAATAACTCCCATGAAAAAGTTTACTGTTAAATTATTTTAAAACAACTTCCACATGTATACAGAAGTCAGACTCGGAGTACTCATTATTTTGATAAATATAAGCTACCCCTTTTCCTTACCCAATAACTCTTTTATTAAAACTTTTGTTATGCATTACATATTATTTACAATCTTCTTCCAGGTTTTATATCTTCTTCAGTATCTTCATCCTTAGATGAATTTGATGGTGCCTGTCAAGCTATAGCAATAGACGATGCACATATAATAACTGGAAACTTGTATAAACATGCTTTTTAATGTAATTGGGAAAATAAAGACTGAAAATGGGAAATGCAGGGTGATTTTTCAATTGGGAATGAGTCCCTGTACTGGACCCCTGTAAACACCTGGCAAAACCCCTGTACTGGACCCCTGTAAACACCTGGCAAAACCCCTGTACTGGACCCCTGTAAACACCTGGCAAAACCCCTGTACTGGACCCCTGTAAACACCTGGCAAAACCCCTGTACTGGACCCCTGTAAACACCTGGCAAAACCCCTGTACTGGACCCCTGTAAACACCTGGCAAAACCCCTGTACTGGACCCCTGTAAACACCTGGCAAAACCCCTGTACTGGACCCCTGTAAACACCTGGCAAAACCCCTGTACTGGACCCCTGTAAACACCTGGCAAAACCCCTGTACTGGACCCCTGTAAACACCTGGCAAAACCCCTGTACTGGACCCCTGTAAACACCTGGCAAAACCCCTGTACTGGACCCCTGTAAACACCTGGCAAAACCCCTGTACTGGACCCCTGTAAACACCTGGCAAAACCCCTGTACTGGACCCCTGTAAACACCTGGCAAAACCCCTGTACTGGACCCCTGTAAACACCTGGCAAAACCCCTGTACTGGACCCCTGTAAACACCTGGCAAAACCCCTGTACTGGACCCCTGTAAACACCTGGCAAAACCCCTGTACTGGACCCCTGTAAACACCTGGCAAAACCCCTGTACTGGACCCCTGTAAACACCTGGCAAAACCCCTGCCGTAGCTGAGTAAGGTACAGTTCACTCCGAGTTTGAATATTAGATTTAAAAGCCAATCAGCATTGAGGTCACAAGATAGTTACAGAAAATGGCAGATCACTGTTCAGATTTCCAATCCTCAGTCAGACCAGCTTGAAAAATGGACTTGGGTGTCCGACATGATAATGTAAGGACATGAACTATCTGTCTATGACACAAGTCGGTTTGATTTCTATTGCAAAAACACTGTACTGACATTGAATAGCGTACATGCCATGTGCTGGGAGCTGCCTACTAGCTATAAGTATTTATCAAGTCATCCCGGTGACAGTGATCAACAAACTGAAATTCGATAATTTTTCCATGTTTCATGAAGTCTACTGAAAAATAATATGGTAAAATATACATCAAATTTTTAAAGGAAAACATTTTCCTGTCAATCTAGACTGCCCCTGCAGTGATCGATTTTATGAACAATTACGACAAAATCACATGCTTTTAGGAACAGAGTTAGCAACCTTGATAAAATATTTTGGGTGTATTGACAGATTAGACGAGTTCCTGTGATGTTACAATATCCTGCGTTTCTTACATATAGTGTATAGAACACTTGTACAGTAGAGCAGAGACGTATATATTATAAAGATTGGCAACTTGACCTGACCTTACCATTGGTCACGGTAACAGGAGGTCATATCGCTAGTTATGCTTCACCGTATTGGATATACGGTTTGCTGCATTCAATAATCCTGTCCTTTTCAAAAAATAATTATGCTGTGAGAAAACATAGAAAATCAACATAATATTAAACCTGTAGCTAGCTGAGATTTCCATGCCATTTGTGAGTGCTCCATTGAATGTAAACTTGAATAATTAAGTTTTGAAAACAACAAACATCGAAAGGTTGCACAGTAAGATCGTGGCTGTGTTTACATATCGGTAATGATTCTGGCTTCAGCAGAACAGGAACCAATTTTTGATAATATTTTAACCAGGTTTTTAAAATGAAGTTGTTACAATACTTCCAAAGTTTGATCATTTAGCTCTGAAAATACAGGTTAACAAGTTAAAACGGTGGCTTTGATGTGTGAGTTTTTTTTCTTTCATGACACATTAAAGCATGAACTCCTTTCTAATTCATCATTTAATTTCAAAAACATCTTCAGATAGTTATTTTGACATAATATTTCTAACCAGCTTCTTAATATGAGCCATATATGTCTAGGATATGTGACAAGTTGACACGAACTAACGAATACACAATCAAATTCTCACAGGTAACACACTGACCAGACTATCGTCACCAGGATCATTCTGCTTCGACATGTGCTTTTAGCTGTCAAAACAAACACATAGAGACCTGGTTCCACGTGATTGCGCAGCCACAACCCAAGTCTCTTGGCGTATCTTATTTCCACTGCCTGAACAATATAATCATTTGTGGTTTTACGAGATCTGCACGAGTTGCCAATCTCTGTAATATATACGTCTCTGAGTAGAGGCAGAAATGTACATGTAATATCCAAGAACTGAAATATCTTTCTGATGATGGAAGCATCAAGTTGGCTTTTTTAACCCCTTGATCTTTGGGATCTTCAAAATTCAAGGATGAATCAGCAACAACTCTCCAAAAATGATTTTGCCGGACAGATGTTTCCTTGAAAGTTCTACAATTTCCTTAATGTCATTTTCAGTCACTTCTTAAAAGTGAAAACACAGCTTAGCTTAGAAACTTCATAATTCAAACACTAAGAAACAACTAATATAACTATTACGGTTGAGAGAGTTAGTTAAGGAACTAGTTATCAATACAGATACCCATTTTCGGAAATACACATCGGAATACACACACCCTTCCATCCATCATTGGGATGTCACCTGTCAGATGATGTGTTCTATGCGAGTAGCGTCTCGTACGAGGCTGGTAAACTTACGGCTCTGTTTCTATGTCATATTAAGTAATTATTTAATCATTTTATCATTTAATGTCTGAACTATTTCAGAAAGGTATCCAAAACAACTTCCTGTCAAAACATGAAAGTCTCACAGCCCAAAAAATGTTTCGGGAGCCTTTCCGTATGAGTCATGTTCGTTGTAATATTATGTCACATGTATACAAGGACAATATTGCATAAAACGCACCACCGTTATTTCTATTATATATATCCGCAATCTGTTGTTTATTTATTTCATTTAATTAATATACCGGTAATCCGATAATTAGCCGACTTCTACGGAAGTGTCATGAAATCTGTGTCAACATCGGCAGGTCAGCGGGTCACCACACAGGAAACGTGTATACCTGAACGGTATATAAACACTTGGCGACACAGTTGTCACTTAAATGGTACTTTCACGGCATTGTCATGAAGCAAACATGTAATGTATTTCACCAATACTCACCCATTGTGATCCTACTTTGAGATTCCAAGTTGTCAAATCCTCATCTTCTTATAAATGACTTCCAAAATGGCGCCTAGTCATGTGACTTGTCAGATCAACTTCACTCTTCGACTATAGTCTGTTTCAGGAAATGATATTTCACAAAGATTTGATATTTTGATACTTGACCTTATTGATATTTTTTATAGCATTAAATGATAAGTACGAAATATATGTGATCACGAGCGAGTCTCACTTACCTATTTTAATCATTGTATGACGTTCTGGTCCAACTTCCTGTTTTTTTTAAGTACCTGTTCCTTCCTGGTCAGAGATGTATTTCCGTTCGTGGTGGACAATTTTTTTTAATTTAAACATATTTTATTGCCTTTTTTACATAGCAATGGAATTGGGCACAAGTTTTACAACTATAATATAATATCAAGCCATTTCCCTGTACAATAATATTTTTTTAACAATATTCACGCACCGAACCACACGCATGCGCACAAATATAAAGGAAGAGAGATGGGGATTGTGAGAGGGGGAGGAGAGAGAGAAAGGGAAGAGGGGGTTCGAGAGTCCGATTTTTTAAGATTACTTTATAAGTACTGCAACAAGACAGTAAATTCAAGAAAAATATATATCAGACCACGTACGTTTCTCCATGCGAACCAGGGGCGTTTCTAGGATATTTGAAAGAGAATCAAAGTAGAATCATATCTTTGAAAAAAAGAATTGGACCATTTTTTGCTAAAAAACATAAAATAATTGTGAAATGCACCAGGGACGTATATATACTGTCCCTGAATGCACTAATGTAACCTGACTTGGAGCATGTATATTTCATAGTTAAAGTGTCAGGGTTTGACGTTTTTATGCCGAATTCTATTCTGTGTATGGTTCTAATATTTGCATTCAAATTCTAAATTTTATTTGCACACTTGTAACTACGAAGTAGTTTGAAGGCAAAACTGTGAACACACAGTGAAAAAACTGCATAGACATGTACATATAAGCACGGGAAAAAAGGAAAATTTTGTTTTTATTTTAGAAATGTAAACATAAAACAAGGGAAAGAGTCGAATACGGCGGAGAAACGAAATTTTACGGATCCCCCATCGGATGGGGGAATCAGTATAAAAAGAAATCAGAGTATGTGTTTAATTAATGAATATGATAAATTGACATATTCAATACAATATTAGCAGATCACGATATTTTGGGGGTTTTTTTTTTTAAAAAAAAGGGGGGGGGGGTACGCCCATTACGCCCTCACCTGGACCCGCCCCTGCGAACGGACTAGTTATACTATTCGCTGTTCACAACTTTCTTCTGATCAATGTCCATCACTTCCCGTGCTGTTTTAACTCCCTCCTGTTCACTCCGCTCTTGCTGGTATTTCCGTTTCAACTAGTCCGTCTGCACACAGACCAAACACACGGCTTCATTATATTTATATATATGGTATATTTGTATGTTGCAACTCGTGTTGTCAATCTTTTAGTATTAGTACGATACATGTATTAATAAAGATGTCGATTTTGAGGGGTGAGGGTGTTAAAATCTGTTCGAGTCTTGTATATATTGCTGAGTATTCATGAATATAATTTTGTTTTCTTGTTCCGAAATTGTTATATCTCAAAAAAAAAAAAAAGGAGTATCAATGTAAGGGGGATGTTTGCATTCAGTTCACGATAAAGTTTAATTCTCTGTTCAACATAATTATTCAGTTAAAAAAGAAATGGAAGGTGTCTCCAATAGGGTAATCACACATACAATGTTGGTCATCAACCAGGTTAACTCGGACAATATAGTCAGACATTTTGTAATGTACCTGTTATGTTCTAACCAGCGACCGACTTTATAAATCAATTCCTTATGTCAGATCTAGATAATATATAAATCTTTGTATTCTGATAAGATATGAGATTTAAACCACCTTAACAATTAACTCATTATTTGCGTTCGTTTGCGTGAAAACGAACTTCAATTATACGGAAAATTTTAATAATCAACTGTCACAGTAACAATGGCGGTATAATACAGTGAATTGTAAAACATTTGTAAACGTTGAAACGATACGGAGAGTCCTTCTTCTCCTTTCTTTCTTTTGTGTTTTCCTATCAATTCTGTATATAGCAGGTTCATATAGCAGGCTCCACTGCCTTTCACTGACTCGTATTGACACGTACATGTCAGGCTGACCTTCATTGACTCGTATTGACACGTACATGTTACGCTGATCGTCATTGACTCGTATTGACACGGACATGTCGCGCTGACCGTCATTGACTCGTATTGACACGTACATATTACACTGACCTTCATTGACTCGTATTGACACGTACATGTTACACTGATCGTCATTGACTCTTATTAACACGTACATGTTACACTGATCATCATTGACTCTTATTGACACGTACATGTTACACTGACCTTCATTGACTCTTATTGGCACGTATACATGTTACACTGACCTTCATTGACTCGTATTGACACGTACATGTCACGCTGACCTTCATTGACTCTTATTGACACCTACATATTACACTGTCTTCCATTGACTCGTATTGACACGTACATATTACACTGACCTTCATTGACCCGTATTGACACGTACATGTTACATTGACCTTCATTGACTCTTATTAACACGTAAATGTTACACTGATCGTAATTGACTCTTATTAACACGTACATGTTACACAGTCTTCCATTGACTCTTATTGACACGTACATATTACACTGACCTTTATAGACTCTTATTAACACGTACATGTCACGCTGTCCTTCAGTGACTCGTATTGACACGTACATGTTACGCTGATCGTCATTGACTCGTATTGACACTACATGTCGCGCTGACCGTCATTGACTCGTATTGACACGTACATATTACACTGACCTTCATTGACTCTTATTAACACGTACATGTTACACTGATCGTTCTTGACTCTTATTGACACGTACATGTTACACTGTCTTCCATTGACTCGTATTGACACGTACATATTACACTGCCCTTTATAGACTCTTATTAACACGTACATGTCACGCTGACCTTCAATGACTCGTATTGACTCGTACATGTCACGCTGACCTTCATCGACTCTTATTGACACCTACATATTACACTGTCTTCCATTGCCTCGTATTGACACGTACATATTACACTGACCTTCAATGACTCGTATTGACTCGTACATGTCACGCTGACCTTCATCGACTCTTATTGACACCTACATATTACACTGTCTTCCATTGCCTCGTATTGACACGTACATATTACACTGCCCGTCATTGACTCGTATTGACTCGTACATGTCACGCTGACCTTCATCGACTCTTATTGACACCTACATATTACACTGTCTTCCATTGCCTCGTATTGACACGTACATATTACACTGCCCGTCATTGACTCGTATTGACTCGTACATGTCACGCTGACCTTCATTGACTCTTATTGACACGCACATATTACACTGACCTTTATAGACTCTTATTAACACGTACATGTTACGCTGATCGTCATTGACTCTTATTAACACGTACTTTTTACACTGATCGTCATTGACTCTTATCAACACGTACATGCTACACTGACCTTCATTGACTATTATTAACACGTACATCTTACACTGATCGCCATTGACTCTTATTAACACGTACATGTTACACTGACCTTCATTGACTCTTATTGACACCTACATATTACACTGTCTTCCATTGACTGTTATTAACACGTACATATCACGCTGATCGTCATTGACTCGTATTGACACGTACATGTTACACTGATCGTCATTGACTCTTATTAACACATACATGTTACACTGATCGTCAATGACTCTTATTAACACGTACATGTTACACTGATCGTCATTGACTTTTATTTACACGTAAATGCTACACTGATCGTCATTGACTCTTATTAACACGTACATGTTACACTGACCTTCGTTGACTCTTATTGACACTTACATGTTACACTGACCGCCATTGACTCGTATTTACACGTACATGTTAAACTGACCGTCATTGACTCTTATTAACAAGTACATTTTACACTGCCTTCCATCGACTCTTATTGACACGTATACATATGACACTGTTTTTCATTGACTCTTATTGACACGTACATGTTACACTGACCTCCATTGACTCTTATTGACACTTACATATAACGCTTCTTTCACTGACTGTTATTGGCACGTACATGTTACTCCGACCTTTATTGACTCTTATTGACACGTACATGTTACACTGACCTCCATAGACTCTTATTGACACCTACATATTACAATGTTTTCCTTTGACTCTTATTGACACGTACATGTCACACTGACCTTCATCTTACTGACTCTTATTGGCACGTATACATGTTACACAGATCGTCATTTAATTGACTCGTATTGACACGTACATGTTACACTGATCGTAATTGGCACTTATTAACACGTACATTTTACACTGCCTTCCATCGACTCTTATTGACACGTATACATATGACACTGTTTTTCATTGACTCTTATTGACACGTACATGTTACACTGACCTTCATTGACTCTTATTGACACGTACATGTTACACTGACCGTCACTGACTCTTATTAACACCTACATGTTACACTGACCGTCACTGACTCTTATTGACACCTTCATGTTACACTGACCGTCACTGACTCTTATTGACACGTACATGTTACACTGCCTTCCATTAACTCTTATTGGCACGTATACATATTACACTGTCTTTCATTTACTCTTATTGACACGTACATGTTACACTGACCTTCATAGACTTATTAACACGTACATGTTAAGCTGTCTTTCATTGACTCTTATCGACACGTCCATGTTACACTGCCCGTCATTTCATTGACTCGTACTGACACGTACATGTTACACTGGTTGTCAGTTAATTGACTCGTATTGACACGTACATGTTACACTGTCGTTCATTGACTCTTGTTGACACGTACATGTCACGCTGACCTTCATTGACTCTTATTGACACCTACATATTACACTGTCTTCCATTGACTCGTATTGACACGTACATATTACACTGACCTTCATTGACTCTTATTAACACGTACATGTTACACTGATCGTCATTGACTCTTATTAACACGTACATGTTACGCTGCCTCCCATTTACTCTTATTGACACGTATACATTTTACACTGACCGTTACTGATTCTTATTGACACGTACATGTTACACTGACCGTCACTGACTCTTATTGACACGTACATGTTACACTGCCATCCATTGACTCTTATTGACACATATACATATTACACTGTCTCTCATTTACTCTTATTGACACGTACATGTTACACTGACCTTCAAAGACTCTTATTAACACGTACATGTTACACTAACAGTCATTTAATTGACTCGTATTGACACGTACATGTTACACTGTCGTTCATTGACTCTTGTTGACACGTACATGTTACACTGATCGTCATCGACTCTTATTGACACGTACATGTTACACTGACCTTCATTGACTCTTATTGACACGCACATATTACACTGACCTTCATTGACTCTTATTGACACGCACATATAACGCTGTCTTTCACTGACTGTTATTGGCACGTACATGTTACACCGACCTTAATTGACTCTTATTGACACGTACATGTTACACTGACCTCCATAGACTCTTATTAACACGTACATATAACAATGACCTTCATTGACTGTTATTGACACGTTTATATAACACTGCCTTCCATTGACTCTTATTGACACGTACCTATCACACTGTCTTTCATTTACTCTTATTGACACGTACCTATCACACTGTCTTTCATTTACTCTTATTGACACGTATATTTTTACACTGCCCTTCATAGACTCTTGTTGACACGTACAATTTACACTGACCTTCATTGACACAAATATTATTTCACCTTCGTTGAGATACAATGTATCATTTGCTGCCATTCATTGCTACAATGACGTGCAATTGATTTGTAAAGAGCGATGTTAGACGTTAAAAGTGTTTGGATCAGTAGATTAGTAGGGGAATTAATTTTAATTTAACCGATTCCATTGGGGAAAATGCTGAAAAATTAAATACATATGAGAAAATTACGTCGTTTTCTCAAAAATTGATGACGTTACACTCACAAACAAATGACGTAACAATCAATACCTGCTCACTAGATAACTCTGCAATGCGCAAAGACGGAATAATAGTACGCGCTAAATCATGACGTCATTAAAAGTGAATGACGATAACCAAGCATTCGCAGACTACTGTCAACACTGATTCGAGGTAAAGAAAGCAAAATAAGTAATATTTTGCATAGATTATCACTTATTACCAATGAAAAAAATGGCTCCTTCGCATGGATATAAAGCATAAAGAGTACTCTGAACAATTGCGGACTCTTTAATATCTGGTTATTAAATAAAAATCCGATTAATCCAAATTGTCTTATTTAAAAAAAACCTTAACGTGACTGATCAGTTCGAATGCTAGTCGTTTCGGTAACAGGTCGTTTCGGTAACAAGTCGTTTCGGTAACAAGTCGTTTCGGGAGTTCCGAAGTCGTTTCGGGACATTTACAATTTTCACTTATAAATAACATTTCGCTCTCGTATCATAAAACGTCATGTAAATACACAAGTATGGTCTATGACCTGTATCATGATCTACCCGTGCTTGTGATCATTATAGTGTTTAACAGATTGCCAGTGCTTGAGGGGATACCTACCAACATTTACCCGACTGACAGTATGCTGTTACCTGATGAAACTAATCTCATTACTAAATACAGATATAGAGGAACTATATAGAGGAATTCCTTGTTTGATATTGTAATAATATGTTTTCAATTCACTTTATTCTCCGTTATTGTTATTGACATTAAGAGACGAGTGAATTAACATTGACTCTAACAATGTTTTAAGCATTTTGTTTTTGCTATATTGAAATTAAATTTCATGAAGGTATAAAACGTGAAACAGGTAGAAAGTATTGTATACATGTGAATCAATTCATCAAATCCAGCAATATAGTTTGAACGATGTTTTTATGTTGTGTATTTGTGTCTGTATGAATATTATATATATTTATTCATGAGTCATTAAAATCATGAAATGGTAAATGTATGAAGGGAGAAGTCTATGATAAGTTGTAATAATTTGTATCCAATCGATTGTCTACATTTAGTTGACATTAAAATATGTTTAAGGAAAAAAGACAATTGTATTTACAGAACATAAAAAAATGAAAAATCCCGAAACGACTTTTGATATGTCCCGAAACGACCCGAAAAAAGTCCCAAAACGACTTTCGTCTTGTTACCGAAACGACTTGTTACTGAAACGACCTAACACCATGAAACAAAACTGGGCAGAAATATGCAGAGACTCTCCAAAATCCACCGTATATCACGCATTTACATAGATGACGATCGAATCCCGTACAAGATATATGTAACGTGAAACACTAGCTCTGAAGAGCTATTCTTACGACAACCCGTACGGAACGATCGGTCCGATATTGGTTTTATAATTACTGATCCATGTTGAAATGTTTTCGTATAATAGTCACTTTTGTTTGAAATTAAAAGAATAATTACGCATTTTCTTTGTCGAAATCACAACTTAAAATATGTACTTACAAGCTGAGTTCAAATTTAGCCCTGCACATGTTTCAGTATAAGAAAATTAGATAATACGAAACTACAATGTAGTGCTTGTTGCTACTGAAAACAAACATGGTGGACGAGCATCTGCTTTCTTTAATTTGTGGATAAAAAACCAAGGTGATTTCTCGTAAACCAGCAACATCTTTCAATTCTAATAACGAGAAAAGAACGTCCGTACTTATGTTACTAGGTTTTATTTCAAATAGCTGTCGTATTTGATTTTTTTTTTATCAAACATACAGATGTAGCGTATTTTCCTCCCACATTCCTACTAGATTCTGCACGGTCATGTTCGATGCAACAAGAAGATAGATTCGTTACAATTTTATTTAGATTCGGAACATTATGTGTTAATCACAAATTATTATTATTTTAGTTTTCAGGTCTTCTATTACTATTACGAGAAAAACTTAAATATACAATAATGGGAAAGAAGAAAGGCAAGAAGGGAAAGAAGGGAGGAGGAAAGAAGGGAGGGAAGAAGAAGGAACCTCAAATGACAGCAAAGGAGGCCATTTTGGCGTACCAGTACGTATGTTGTTGTTTGGTTGCCATGTTTTTCTATCAAATCAGTCATAGTCATTTATAACTTGAATTCAGCAAGGTAAACACATTTCAAAATGAATAAAGTAATAAACAGACATCATTTTTCAAGATAGATTTAATTTGGTGATCATACACCTATATCGCATTCAATCCCAGCGTTCCATAGGTGTTCATATATATAAATATATATGTAAGGCTTAAAACAAATGCTCATTCTTTCTTTGTATACACCATAACACAATGGAATCTGCTCCCCATAACTATTATCCAAAGCACAACAATTGAAGAAACAACAAAACAACTAATTCATCCAATTTTAAACTCCTTTTATTCTATTTCTAAACATTTTCTTCAGGTTCGTAAGTATGGATTATGAGAAGTTCTTTTTACACGACCAATACAATTTTCTATGTGACGTTTCAATTAAAAGAAAGAAAATAATAATAATGATTAATTAATAAAATAATTTCAAATAATAATCATGTATATATATATAATGCCATAACCCCACCCTTAATCAGTCCATAATCATAAGTAATGACACAGAACTTTATTATACTCTACCCGATACATTGCGGGGTGCTCCGATTAACTAAACGGAGGAATCTACAACACCAACCAGCTAGTCCAAATTATTCTGACGTTTTATCGACTTTTTTCATATCGGTCTGTCGATACCCATGTATGAAGATGAAGATAATATAGCAGGCTACACTATTCTACCATGTTGGTGATGTCATAGAACTTTTCATTGGTCAATAACCGTCACATGACATGTTATTGGACAGTAATACATGGGAGACCTTGATGTTTTTGACCAGTAAACCTTACACTTGAAACGTCTTGTCAAATAGCTCTCTTGTATTCCAAATGTCCAAAACTTTAATCATTCATATGGCTAGCATGATCAGGACCATTGGATGTATCTGTGAGTTTATATATATATATCTATATATCAGACATGCACTATAGCTAGTTTGCAGCCATTTTGTGGAATAATTTATCATATCTTCTGCCAGAAAGTTGAAAACCTTCACCACATTCATATTACCATGGTTAGGGTATTAAAGCTCACTTTTTTAAATTTGCATGTGATTTTTGGTGTTTCATTAGCTTAGACATGATTTATATATGCTTGTGTACCTATATACTAATCATGGCAAAGTTCCTTAGATTATAGTGGTAGTGTAAACCAATAAGGCACTATGTAATTGTTACATATTCATTACTATTATTTACTTATAAATGGTACAGTAAATATTCAGGACCATGCACACATGTCCTAGCTTTGATAAATCATTTGATATCAATTAAAGAAATTATGCTAAATGATCAGTACTGCCATACATTGAAAATAAAATGGGATAAGAGAAAAGCTTCCCGAAAAATGCAAAGCTAAGACTGACAAATACATATGGAAACGTAGATTAAGGATGAGTCCGGGGTCAGAATAGACATTTACGTACATGTATGATAAAACATTACAACAAAAAATAGGCTTCTATGTATACATTTATATACATATTTTGTATTTATTTTCAGGATTGGAATCATAGAGAAAAAGATGGAGGATGTAATGTTTGAATCAAGAGGATGGGAAGATAAAAACCGCAGACATGAAGAAAGGGTAAAGTTTGATGTTTGTCTGTAGTGCTTTATTGTTGAGAAGAATAACATCAACACAGTCAATGGTTACATAACTATGAACAAAGTAACTTTAAAACACAGATTTTTGCTTAATTCCCGTATGTAATACACTTTGTATTAAATTTTATTTCCCACCACAATAATTTTTAATCATCTGTCATATTGCAATTCAAAACAATGTTTTTTGGAGAGTAGTGGTAAAATTTAAGTAAGATGACAGAATGTGTAGGTTATAAGTAAAGGGAATAATAATCTGAGAAATAGGAAACAGGGAAGAGGAAAAGAAGCATAAACATTAACATGCCCTACATACTGCATATTGTAATTTATAAAAGTGTGATAACTTTTTTAGAAACTTTTACATTAATATGTTTTATAATGTAATCAGCCATATGAATTATTAGTGCCAAAACATGTATTGGGTACAGTATGAAATTGTTATGTTGATGTATCTTTTTACCAAATGTGATAAGTTTTTTTTCATGAGACATGCACCTGTAAAAACTTGATATTGATTACACACTGTCAGCATAACAGTACTAATACTTGTATTTCTAAATATAAAACTCCCAGAACAGAACATTCTTACAGTGAAAGGATAAGAATGATTTGTTCAATACTTGTAATATATTTATAAACAAACAATATATTTAATTGAAGCCCAAAATATTGAAATAACATATGGAGAATAAGCATTATTTCTCATAATAATTATTTCTTATATTAAATTGAAAGGGGAACAATCTCTAAGTAAAGTTGGTACTGGGTTCTAAATGAGAAGTGATCTGTACCAATGTCGGACAATGTTGTGTGTATAAGATGTAAGTGCTGGCTGACTACTGATTAATCAAAGGGGGACGATCTCTAAGTAAAGTTGGTTCTGGGTTCTAAATGAGAAGAGATCTGTACCAATGTCGGACAATGTTGAGTGTTGTTAGTGTTTACCAGTGGTAGATTAATTTGTGTTTCCAGAATGAGAAGTTGCTATCAGAACAAGAACTCCTGATCAAGCATTTGCTGAAGCAAGCTAAAGAGGTGGAAAAATATTTTGAAAACGAAGAAGTAAAAACCCGCGACGATGTTATAATGACGATGAAAGATAAGTGGGGACGACAGCGCCAAAAGGAAAATGAACTTACTGGTAAGTGTGTTTAAATAATGACAGTCAGAAAACTAATGGTACCATTTTGTCTGTACGCACAGAGCATGCACCAGCTATTTTGTTCCCCATTATCAAATCAACATGGCCCCAGAAATAACTGATCTTTGTCTATATGTACATTATGGTGTTTGCTGTAGAGTTGAAGAAGCTGATTGCTGAGACAGAAGGGGATATCAGTCGGGAGGAGAAGGAGGTGGGGTTATGGCTGGCTTTCCGTGACAAAGGTGATATGGAAGAGAAGAAACAGATACAACTTTTAAAAGACGAACTCGTTGACATGGAGGTCAGCTTTGGAGATATGAAAAGTAAGAACAATATGATGTCAATTGTCAATGGATTAGGGATTTCAATTAAAACTTAATTTTTAGTTTGGTTGTTGTTACATATGAAATAATTATTGTTTTGATATTGATCATAGTCAGTTCTTAATTTCATTCTTTTTCTAAAGATCATTTGGAACGTTCACAAGAAAAGGCGACATCAGAAATCAACCAACATACGGAGGAAACAGTGGATAAACAGAAATATTTAGCTTCAGAGGTTTGTATGGGTGTCCTGTGTGTGTGTTACTGACTTACGAGGAACTTCAGTTCAAACAAGTAAATGTATATTTGGGTTGACTAATCTTACATTCTGTTAGAGGCTGATTTCTTGATAACCAGTTGTTTATTACATACACAACATGAAGGCTCAATGAGTTAAGTCATTATTACATCTTCCTTTTCAGAAAGCTATAGGTCAGCTAGACAAGTACAGTCGCCAAGAGGTCCTTGACAATGATTGGCTCCGACGAGAGGTAAAAGTACAATATAAAGATGATCTAAAAATTTTGATTGATCAAGGTGTCCAAAATAATACACGCTTTCTCAATTGAATAATCGATTTGAAAACCAAGAGGAAACCTCTGGCATTGAATCTGGCAATAATCATTATCTTTGGTATGCAAGGGTGGAGATAACTAATGCTTGGTTAGCCTACTTTTGGTATTGTATAGGTAGAGATAAATGATGTTTGATTAGCTTACCTTTGGTATTGTACAGGTGGAGATAAATGATGTTTGGTTAGCTTACCTTTGGTATTGTACAGGTAGAGATAAATGATGTTTGGTAAGCTTACCTTTGGTATTGTACAGGTGGAGATAATGGTGTTTGGTTAGCTTACCTTTGGTATTGTACAGATGGAGATAATGGTGTTTGGTAAGCTTACCTTTGGTATTGTACAGGTGGAGATAATGGTGTTTGGTTAGCTTACCTTTGGTATTGTACAGGTGGAGATAATGATGTTTGGTAAGCTTACCTTTGCCATTGTACAGGTGGAGATAAATGATGTTTTGTTAGTTTACCTTTGGTATTGTACAGGTGGAGATAATGCTGTTTGGCAAGCTTACCTTTGGTATTGTATAGGTGGAGATAAATGATGTTTTGTTAGTTTACCTTTGGTATTGTACAGGTGGAGATAACTGATGTTTGGTTAGTTTACCTTTGGTATTGTATAGGTAGAGATAATGATGTTTGATTAGCTTACCTTTGGTATTGTACAGGTGGAGATAATGCTGTTTGGTAAGCTTACCTTTGGTATTGTACAGGTGGAGATTAATGATGTTTTGTTAGTTTACCTTTGGTATTGTATAGGTAGAGATAATGATGTTTGGTTAGCTTACCTTTGGTATTGTACAGGTGGAGATACACAAGGCAGAGTCTGCAGATCTGAAACAGGAAGTGGAGGATTTAGAGAAGGCCAACCTCTTTGTGATGGCCGACTTGTTTGAATGTAAAATAGAAGATCTCAAGGTGTCAAGGTCAGTGGTAGTTGCAATTCAACATCACATCTGTTCAACATCACATGTGTTAATATAAAAGTGAAGGTTGTTGAAGTATAAGTTAAGGTCAGTGTAACATTCTTGAAAGGTCAAGATAAGCTAAAGAACCTTCACATCTGGACTGAGTGCTGTTGTCATCAGCCTAAGATTGTAGTATAACAATCTAGTACATTAATATGTAATGTTTACTTGTTGAGAGTTAATGATATATTTGGATAGAACTGAGCCATCCTATGGGTAAATTGGATAAGTACAAAATGTATTGATCTTGTACCAGGAACTTTTTCCTGACCCAGTTTGAGGATAACGGTGAGAACCTGGACAATACAGGAATTCTGGAGATGGACCTGGCACAGATATCCATCAATGACACAAGTACAGACAGCTCAAACCTAGCCATCAAGGAGGCAGGGGAGACAATCCCAGGTAAGGTTGCTGATAAATGATTGACTAGTCCACTGTGTCATTTTTACTAAAAAAAATCATATTATGTAAAGCAGCATAATGGATCCATATTTCCCTAATGCTAAAGCTTGCTGCCTATGTTTAACATGTGCTGTAATGATACTTTTAGCTGTAATTGTTAAAGCAGTAGTATTATAGGAATAGTAACTCTAAAAATAGGATCAGTACAGGCCATATAAGTCATGCGTTACTTAGTATTGCATGCTATAAAGGGTCAGATGCTATAAAAGATTTTAGAATTAATATCTCATTGATATTTTAAATGAAGAGGAGAATTAATATATTACATTCAACTTTTACTAAACCATCATATCTTTAACATACAGGAGAATTCATGCCCCTGTTAAATTTTTGTTGCAGCACGGTCAGGCAGTGCCACACAGAGAGCAGTGGAGAAGAAAGTGTTCTCCATGGTCGCCCCACCCTTCTTAGAGCATGATGGGGATAGCTCCTCGGAGGATGGTAAGTGTTCTCCATGGTCGCCCCACCCTTCTTAGATCATGATGGGGACAGCTCCTCGGAGGAGGGTAAGTGTTCTCCATGGCCGCCCCACCCTTCTTAGATCATGATGGGGACAGCTCCTCGGAGGAGGGTAAGTGTTCTCCATGGCCGCCCCACCCTTCTTAGATCATGANAGGTAAGTGTTTTCCATGGCCGCCCCACCCTTCTTAGAGCATGATGGGGACAGCTCCTTGGAGGATGGTAAGTGTTCTCCATGGTCGCCCCACCCTTCATAGAGCATGATGGGGACAGCTCCTCGGAGGATGGTAAGTGTTCTCCATGGTTGCCCCACCCTTCATAGAGCATGATAGGGACAGCTCCTCGGAGGATGGTAAGTGTTCTCCATGGTCGCCCCACCCTTCTTAGATCATGATGGGGACAGCTCCTCGGAGGATGGTAAGTGTTTTCCATGGTCGCCCCACCCTTCTTAGAGCATGATGGGGACAGCTCCTCGGAGGATGGTAAGTGTTCTCCATGGTCGCCCCACCCTTCTTAGAGCATGATGGGGACAGCTCCTCGGAGGATGGTAAGTGTTCTCCATGGTCGCCCCACCCTTCTTAGAGCATGATGGGGACAGCTCCTCGGAGGATGGTAAGTGTTCTCCATGGTCGCCCCACCCTTCTTAGATCATGATGGGGACAGCTCCTCGGAGGATGGTAAGTGTTCTCCATGGCCGCCCCACCCTTCTTAGATCATGATGGGGACAGCTCCTCGGAGGATGGTAAGTGTTCTCCATGGTTGCCCCACCCTTCATAGAGCATGATGGGGACAGCTCCTCGGAGGATGGTAAGTGTTCTCCATGGTCGCCCCACCCTTCTTAGAGCATGATGGGGACAGCTCCTCGGAGGAGGGTAAGTGTTCTCCATGGCCGCCCCACCCTTCTTAGAGCATGATGGGGACAGCTCCTCGGAGGAGGGTAAGTGTTCTCCATGGCCGCCCCACCCTTCTTAGAGCATGATGGGGACAGCTCCTCGGAGGAGGGTAAGTGTTCTCCATGGCCGCCCCACCCTTCTTAGAGCATGATGGGGACAGCTCCTCGGAGGAGGGTAAGTGTTCTCCATGGCCGCCCCACCCTTCTCAGAGCATGATGGGGACAGCTCCTCGGAGGAGGGTAAGTGTTCTCCATATCCCACCCTTCTCAGAGCATGATGGGGACAGCTCCACGGAGGATGGTAAGTGTTCTCCATAGCCGCCCCACCCTTCTCAGATCATGATGGGGACAGCTCCTCGGAGGAGGGTAAGTGTTCTCCATATCCCACCCTTCATAGAGCATAATGGGGACAGCTCCTCGGAGGAGGGTAAGTGTTCTCCATGGCCGCCCCACCCTTCTCAGATCATGATGGGGACAGCTCCTCGGAGGAGGGGAAGTGTTCTCCATATCCCACCCTTCATAGAGCATAATGGGGACAGCTCCTCGGAGGAGGGTAAGTGTTCTCCATATCCCACCCTTCTCAGAGCATGATGGGGACAGCTCCTCGGAGGAGGGGAAGGGTTCTCCATATCCCACCCTTCATAGAGCATAATGGGGACAGCTCCTCGGAGGAGGGTAAGTGTTCTCCATATCCCACCCTTCTCAGAGCATGATGGGGACAGCTCCACGGAGGAGGGTAAGTGTTCTCCATGGCCGCCCCACCCTTCTCAGAGCATGAAGGGGACAGCTCCTCAGAGGAGGGTAAGTGAATGATCAATGTAAGCTGCTAAAATAATCCTTAAAATCAATTTATTTTCTCACTCTTTGGTAGGAAAAAGTAATAGTTAAGGTATCATCAAATGTTGTACAGAATGATGTCAGCAGCATTATCATTATCAATCTAATAACATATTAGCTATATCTTATAAGTGTTATGACTGTTTCCAAGGTGTCAGTATTAAGCGACTGTATCGACAGGTGACTGTATTATGACTGTATCCACAGGTTGCTGTATTATGACTGTATCCTCAGGTGGCTGTATAATGACTGTATCCACAGGTGGCTGTATTATGACTGTATCCTCAGGTGGCTGTATTATGACTGTATCCACAGGTGGCTGTATAATGACTGGATCCACAGGTGGCTGTATTATGACTGTATCCAAAGGTGGCTGTATTATGACTGTATCCACAGGTGACTGTATTATGACTTGATCCACAGGTGGCTGTATTATCACTGTATCCACAGGTGGCTGTAGTATGACTGTACACACAGGTGGCTGTATTATGACTGTACACACAGGTGGCTGTATTATGACTGTATCCACAAGTGGCTGTATTATGACTGTATCCACAGGTGGCTGTATTATGACTGTACACACAGGTGACTGTATTTTGATTGTATCCACAGGTGGCTGTATTATGACTGTATCCACAGGTGGCTGTATAATGACTGTATACACAGGTGACTGTATAATGACTGTATACACAGGTGGCTGTATTATGACTGTATCCACAATGGCTGTATAATGACTGTATCCACATTGGCTGTATTATGACTGTATCCACAGGTGACTGTATAATGACTGTATCCACAATGGCTGTATAATGACTGCATTCAAATTGGCTGTATAATGACTGGTTCCACAATGGCTGTATAATGACTGTTTCCAAAATGGCTGTATCATGACTGTATCCACAATGGCTGTATAATGACTGTTTCCACAATGGCTATATAATGACTGTATCCACAATGGCTGTATAATGACTGTTTCCAAAATGGCTGTATCATGACTGTATCCACAATGGCTGTATAATGACTGTATCCACAATGGCTGTATTATGACTATATCCACAATGGCTGTGTAATGACTGTATCAACAATGGCTGTATAATGACTGTATCCACAATGGCTGTATAATGACTGTATCTGCAATGGCTGTATTATGACTGTATCCACTTTGGCTGCGTTATGACTGTTCCTTATGGCGGATGTAAAGAATGATTTTAGATATCTGTTTGTGTTCCAGATGAGAGTGTTGACACAGAACTTCTGGATAATATGTTCTTTGAAGAGGAAGACTTTTCAGTGAGTACATTCACACACCGATGTTAAACGCCAGAAAGATCTAAACATGTTATTTAGTGATTGAATGGTGTAAGACTTGTTCCTTTTGAAAAGGAAAACAAGACAGTCATAAGTAGAAGCTTAATTGCTACATGTTCATTAATTGTAGAAGAGAAAAATAAGGAAGTAATCTTAGTCAATTAAGACTGTTTTAGTAGGTTTCTTATAACATTTCACTTTGTAGTGTATGTCTTAGAGAAATAAGTAATTCTGAACCTGATCTCTGTCATTGAATAATTACTAGTTAGTGTTTATTATTAATATGGCATGTTGGTTTGTAGGATTACCTAAAGCTTGGGCCCTTGGAGATGAAGTTACTGAATGTGTCGGGAGTACAGATGCCCATCCACATTCCCCAGGCTCTCAGCGCTGAGGAGGCTGCAGCGAAGGATTGCAAGCCTGACAGCTGGCCCGTAACTCAATCCATGCTGAAGGGTGTGGCCAGACCATAGCTCCTCCTCAGACAGGCCAAAAGTCACAGATGGCACTGTTTCTAGCCTTAACATGTGGTTGGATATTGTCAGGGTATTCAGTACTGGAGTCTTGAGAAATGTGTCCAGTCATGAAGTCACTTGCATAATGAGGATACAGTCATACATCCAATGTTTTGGAGGAACTTGTGTGGTCAAGTTTTGTGGTCAAGTTGTGTGGTCAGATCCAAGATAAGCCATTTATCCCATCCAACAGAATGTTCAACATAATTAAATCTGGCCTAAACTTTGATACCATTATGGTTGTAATTATACATCTTATGATTGAGTATTGTTTTCATTTTGTTTACAGTATATTTCTATTAATTGTATGACAGTAAATCTTTAACAGAAGTTATCCATATTGCCATAAAACTATAGCTCTGTACTTTTCTTACAACAAACAGATTTAGAAAGGACTTATTAGGAATGAAGTTGATTCTCAAATTTGAATACTCTATAGGAATTAACAAATAAATATTGTTAATGATTGTCTACATGGTGCCTTTTGTGTATCTGTGATCAAGAGTGAATGTGATATACAGCTATGAGGTGTGTGTTGGTGTGTATGTGTGTATGGTGTGTGTATGGTGTGTGTGTGTGTGTGTGTGTGTGTATGTGTTGGTGTGCATATGGTGTGTGTGAGTGGTATTTTAAGCTTTGAAGTACACCTGTAGACTGAGTGGTGTTATGAGGTGTGTGTATGTTGATGGTATGGGAGGTAATATATTTACATATTGACAACAAGTTTAAACTACAATCTCTCCCTCTTTATGTTTTATCAACATTATCTGCTGATGTGTATGTTTTGTATGTATTTCATTGTTTCCTATTCAGTTTGCAAATTTTAATAAAATTAGTACATCTGAAATGTTGCCATTGTCTATTGTTATTTTCACTACGAAATGGACATTATCTTGTCACATGTAAGGACTAATGACAACCTTCCTCACATTTGTTTCTCAATCTAATTAAAATTAGACTCGTAATCCTGCTCCTCTTCAATACACTGAAATACAAGTATTGGAGTGTATCACAGACTAGCAGAATAACAAGTTAATTTTTAATGTGATTGATTTGTTACTATACCAATCTACAGCGCGTATACGAAACCACACAGTATGTATACCAACCCACACAGTATGTATACTAACCCACACAGTATGTATAACAAACCACACAGTATGTATACCAACCCAAACAACATGTATATAAAAGCACAGAGTGTGAATACCAAACTACACAGTATGTAAAACAACCCACAAGGTATGTATACCAACCCAAACAACAGGTATATAAAACCACAGAGTGTGAATACCAAACTACACAGTATGTAAAACAACCCACAAGGTATGTATACCAACCCAAACAACAGGTATATAAAACCATAGAGTGTGAATACCAAACTACACAGTATGTAAAACAACCCACAAGGTATGTATACCAACCCACAAAGTATGTATATCAAACCACACAGTATGTATACCAAACCACACAGTATTTATACCAAACCACACGGTATGTATAACAAACCACACAGTATTTATACCAAACCACACAGTATGTATAACAAACCACACAGTATTTATACCAAACCACACCATATGTATAACAAACCACACAGTATTTATACCAAACCACACCGTATGTATAACAAACCACACAGTATTTATACCAAACCACACCGTATGTATAACAAACCACACAGTATTTATACCAAACCACACCGTATGTATAACAAACCACACAGTATTTATACCAAACCACACCGTATGTATAACAAACCACACAGTATTTATACCAAACCACACCGTATGTATAACAAACCACACAGTATTTATACCAAACCACACCGTATGTATAACAAACCACACAGTATTTATACCAAACCACACCGTATGTATAACAAACCACACAGTATTTATACCAAACCACACCGTATGTATAACAAACCACACAGTATTTATACCAAACCACACCGTATGTATAACAAACCACACAGTATTTATACCAAACCACACCGTATGTATAACAAACCACACAGTATTTATACCAAACCACACCGTATGTATAACAAACCACACAGTATTTATACCAAACCACACCGTATGTATAACAAACCACACAGTATTTATACCAAACCACACCGTATGTATAACAAACCACACAGTATTTATACCAAACCACACCGTATGTATAACAAACCACACAGTATTTATACCAAACCACACCGTATGTATAACAAACCACACAGTATTTATACCAAACCACACCGTATGTATAACAAACCACACAGTATTTATACCAAACCACACCGTATGTATAACAAACCACACAGTATTTATACCAAACCACACCGTATGTATACCAAACCACACAGTATTTATACCAAACCACACCGTATGTATACCAAACCACACAGTATTTATACCAAACCACACCGTATGTATAACAAACCACACAGTATTTATACCAAACCACACAGTATGTATAACAAACCACACAGTATTTATACCAAACCACACCGTATGTATAACAAACCACACAGTATTTATACCAAACCACACCGTATGTATAACAAACCACACAGTATTTATACCAAACCACACCGTATGTATAACAAACCACACAGTATTTATACCAAACCACACCGTATGTATAACAAACCACACAGTATTTATACCAAACCACACCGTATGTATAACAAACCACACAGTATTTATACCAAACCACACCGTATGTATAACAAACCACACAGTATTTATACCAAACCACACCGTATGTATAACAAACCACACAGTATTTATACCAAACCACACCGTATGTATAACAAACCACACAGTATTTATACCAAACCACACCGTATGTATAACAAACCACACAGTATTTATACCAAACCACACCGTATGTATAACAAACCACACAGTATTTATACCAAACCACACCGTATGTATAACAAACCACACAGTATTTATACCAAACCACACCGTATGTATAACAAACCACACAGTATTTATACCAAACCACACCGTATGTATAACAAACCACACAGTATTTATACCAAACCACACCGTATGTATAACAAACCACACAGTATTTATACCAAACCACACCGTATGTATAACAAACCACACAGTATTTATACCAAACCACACCGTATGTATAACAAACCACACAGTATTTATACCAAACCACACCGTATGTATAACAAACCACACAGTATTTATACCAAACCACACCGTATGTATAACAAACCACACAGTATTTATACCAAACCACACCGTATGTATAACAAACCACACAGTATTTATACCAAACCACACCATATGTATAACAAACCACACAGTATTTATACCAAACCACACCGTATGTATAACAAACCACACAGTATTTATACCAAACCACACCGTATGTATAACAAACCACACAGTATTTATACCAAACCACACCGTATGTATAACAAACCACACAGTATTTATACCAAACCACACCGTATGTATAACAAACCACACAGTATTTATACCAAACCACACCGTATGTATAACAAACCACACAGTATTTATACCAAACCAAACCGTATGTATAACAAACCACACCGTATTTATACCAAACCACACAGTATTTATACCAAACCACACCGTATGTATAACAAACCACACCGTATTTATACCAAACCACACAGTATGTATAACAAACCACAAAGTACGTATATCAAAACAGAAAGTAGGTATACCAAACCACACCGTGTGTATACCAAACCACACAGTATGTATAACAAACCACGGCGTATGTATAACAAACCACACAGTATGTATACCAAACCACACAGTATGTAATACAAACCACACCGTATGTATACCAAACCACACAGTATTTATACCAAACCACGCTGTATTTATACCAAACCACACAGTATGTATAACAAACCACACAGTATGTACAACAAACCACACCGTATGTATACCAAACCACACAGTATTTATACCAATTCACATTGTACGTATATCAAACAACACCATATGTATACCAAACCACACAGTATATATACCACACCACACAGAATGTATACCAAACCACGCAGATGTATATCAAACCACAGAGTATGTATACCAAACCACACAGCATGTATACCAAACCATACAGTATGTATACAAAATCACAAAGTATGTATACCAAACCACACAGTATGTATACCAAACCACACAGTATTCATACCGAACCACGCCGTATGTATAACAACTATCACAGTATGTATATCAAGCCACACCGCATGTAAAACAACCCACACAGTATGTATAACAAACCACAAAGTTTATATGCCAAACCACACCGCATGTAAAACAACCCACACAGTATGGATATCAAACCACAAAGTTTGTATACTAAACCACACAGTATGTATACCAAACCACACAATATTTATAACAACCCACACAGTATGTATAACAAACCACACAGTATTTATACCAAAACCACACAGTATGTATACCACACCACACAGTAAGATAACAAACCATACAGTATGTATACCACACCACACAGTAAGATAACAAACCGTACAGTATGTACACAAAACCACACAGTATGTATATCAAACCACACAGTATGTATAACAAACCATACAGTGTGTATACCAAACCATAGAGTGTGTATACCAAACCATAGAGTGTGTATACCACACCACACAATATGTATACCACACCACACAGTATGTTTACCTAACTATACAGTATGTATACCAAAACCACACAGTATATACACTAACCCACACAGTATGTATACCAAACCACACAGTATGTATACCAAAACCACACAGTATGTATACCAAACCACACACTATGTATGACAACTATCACAGTATGTATATCAAACCACACCGCATGTAAAACAACCCACACCGTATGTATAACAAACCACAAAGTTTATATGCCAAACCACACCGCATGTAAAACAACCCACACAGTATGTATAACCAACCACAAAGTTTATATGCCAAACCACGTCGTATATTAAACAACCCACACAGTATGGATATCAAACCGCAAAGTTTGTACACTAAATCATACAGTACGTATACCACACCACACAGTATGTATAACAAACCACACAGTATGTATACCAAACCACACCACCTGTATAACAACCCACACAGTATGTATATCAAACCACACAGTATGTATACCACACCACACAGTGTTTACCAAACCAATAAGTATGTAAAACAATCCATACGGTTTGTATACCAAACCAAACAGTGTAATACGCCTACTAAATCACACATACATTATGTGTACCAAACCACACATACATTATGTGTACTAAATCACACATAACATCATGTGTACCTAACCACACATACATTATGTGTACCAAACCACACATACATCATGTGTACTAAATCACACATAACATTATGTGTACCTAACCACACATACATTATGTGTACCTAACCACACATCAGTAGGTTTTTCAAACCTATAGTATGTAGCAGAGAACCGAGTCCGTCGGGCCACAGGGCCCTTTGAGTCAGCTAAAGGAAATTGTAAAGCGTTACGTTTTGACTTCATTATTAATTCATTTGAAGTTTCCGGGGAAAAATCCAGCTGTTTGTTATATCATTTTTGCTTTTACATTGAAGAAACAGTTCATTTTTCGTCTACATCCTTAAATATTACTTGCCTGCTGTTTGAACTTACCAAATAAGAGATAGATGTGTGAACTAAATATGAAATTTGGAAGATTTATTGCAATTTGTAAAGAGGAAAAATGCAAAAAGTGGTTCAACTTACGCTGGTCTCCCCTGTACAAACTTCATATGGTATGTAAAATGTTACGATATCTAACTCACATATTACATCTTCAAATGAGACAATATGTGTATACTAATCATATACCAATACGTACACTACATTACATATATTTTACGTATAACATCATGAGCGGAATACAACTAGAGGAAAAATGAGTCACGTTTCTTTGGGAATTATTATATTTGCCATTATAAACCGAAAGCCAAATGGATGGTCCGTTTTTTCCATATACATTTATCTAAAAACGCCTACATATAATGCTTCGTTGCCTTGCTACTGATCTTTTTACTAAATTAGCCTACATGTCGCATGTGTGTGTTTTATTTTTGTTAAATGGATACAAATTCCACCTAATAAACAGATGAATAACCAACTGGTAGTCATCCTTTTTTGCGGTAATTTTTCATACGTTTTTTTTCTTCTCATTTTTTATTATATTTTTAGAATAAAATACAGTGAACAATAAAGATTGGTATGGTTTCTTTTCATGATTTTGAGAATAGGTTTTTTTGTGTCTGTAACACATGACGATTAAACTATACAAAAGAGAACACCGTTTTACACTCTCTATTGGTTCGTAATTCAGTCTGATGATTTGTTCACGAACTAGGTTCGAGTAGTTTCCCCTGATCCGAATACGTAATGTAGCGGAGTTTACCGGAAATTGCCGAGTCAATGTTTACAATCTTTCTGCGCAGAAGGTGAGCACAGCTGATTCTTGTGTCTCGTAGATATTCCACAGTAAGCAGCCGATCAGCTGATCACAACCTTACCACGGTACGTCCACGTCTTCATTGATGTTTCATTTATAATTTGATATTGTTTATTGTGTAAATTTAATTTGGAATATGCAAGAAATCGCGATTGACTACCATGTTTACGTTTTCGTCACGGCTGAAGGCATCTGACAGCTGCGCCTAGATCTCTGTGTATTGTGTATACGTGTGGCGATCACGTGATCTCAGTGTGTATTGCCTTTATGGATACATATTCTCTTTGTTCGCTGACATGCGATATAAATAAATCGGTTTCTATGTGGGGAATTTGTAGTTTTTGCGCCATGCATCAACAACAGAAAATTAGCATAGACTGCGTTATATATTATTATAGTATCTGTGTTATGATGTTGAGTCACAGGTGGCCCGTCCGTCGGTACCTGCCCCGGGGTGCGGACCAGCCGTGTACTGGGGTTACGTTTACACGCTTGGTGTCACAAATGACGGCAAAGACTATTTTAACCGAAGAAAAGTCGCGAATATTATAATGGTGAAAGAATCTGTGATAAGTATTGTATATTTTGTTAAATTTACTTCTTAGCATGGTTACGAAACATAACAGAAAAAAACTAAAACATTTTTTTGTTTTGTTTTTTAATTACAAAATTGTGTATTACAACAAGTAGTTATTAATTGGCCAGTTACTATGTATATACTGTTCTACTGCAACAGTAATACGTACATATGTATATACCATGTAATAATACAAAGTTACTTTTAATAGATACAACATAACAAATTATATATAAAAAGTTACAATTAATATAATATACAAAGTTACCATTAAAAGATAAACGACGTAACAATTAATAGATAATAACAATTAATAGATAGTAACAATTGATAGATGTACAATGTAACAATTAATGGATATACAACGTCACAATCGATAGATGATACAAAGTTACAATTAATAGATATACAACGTAACAATTAATAGATATACAAAGTAACAATTAATAGACATTTAATAGATATACAAAGTAACACTCAATAGATACAACGTAACAATTAATAGATATACAAAGTTACAATTAATAGATATACAAAGTAACAATTAATAGACATTTAATAGATATACAAAGTAACAATTAATAGACATACAACGTAACAATTAATAGATGATACAAAGTTACAATTAATAGATATACAACGTAACAATTAATAGAAATACAATGTCACAATTAATAGATATACAAAGTAACAATTAATAGACATTTAATAGATATACAAAGTAACAATTAATAGATATACAAAGTAACAATCAATAGATACAACGTAACAATTAATAGATGATACAAAGTTACAATTAATAGATATACAAAGTAACAATTAATAGATATTTAATAGATATACAACGTAACAATTAATAGATATACAAAGTAACAATTAATAGACATACAACGTAACAATTAATAGATATACGATGTAACAATTAATAGAAATACAACGTCACAATTAATTGATATACAAAGTTACAATTAATTGATATACAAAGTTACAATTAATAGACATATAACGTAACAATTAATAGATAAAAAGGAACAATCATAGTTACTAATACAAATGTATTCGTTTGTAAATGGTTACAGCAACACATAACAGTATGGTGTTTCTTGTCGACGCCAGTGATAATTTGTGAAATCATGCGGAAGTTACACGTCTCGCGCACACACAGCTACCATCTGTTAACTTTTACATCACTACACAGTACGTAATGTGACAGAACCATGCCCCGACACGCTGATACACAACAAATGTATATACATGTATGATCCACGGTGTATCACTGACGGAACAAATTCAATAATGTGTTACTGTCGCTTTGGTTGCATATTAATTACGCTTTCAATCTTACATGAAGCGGATATGGTTGAAATAAAAAAAAAATACGCAGTAGTGATCAGTAAAATTATTTAACCACAATAAACAGTGTTATTGTTTAACAACTTTAAACAAGCACTATATAACCAACCCCAAAACAGTGTTATATAACAACTTCAAACCAGTGTTATATAACCACCCACAAACAGTGATATATAGCAACTTTAAGCAAGTGTTATATAATCACACACAAACAGTGTTATATAAAAAAACTTTAAACCAGTGTTATATAAGCAACATAGAACAGTGTTATATAACAACTTTAAAGCAGTGTTAAATAATCACCCACAAACAGTTTTATATAACAACTTTAAACCAGTGTTATAGAAGCAACATTGAACAGTGTTATATAACAACTTTAAACCGGTATTATATAACCTCCCTAAACATTGGTTTATAACAACTTTAAACCCGTGTTATATAACCACTTAAAAACAGTGTTTACAAAATTTATAACAACTTTGAACCAGTGTTATATAAACATCATAAAACTGTTATATAACAACTTTTAAACTTGTGTTATATAACCATCATAAATAACAATTTTAAACAAGTGTTATGTAACCATCATAATACAGTGTTATACCCAAATCTGAACAAGTGTCATATTACCATCATTAAACTGTTATGTAACAGCTTTAAACTGGTGTTATATAACCATCATAGAACAGTGTTATATAACAACTTTAAACCAGTATTATATAACCATCGTATTCATATTCATATTCTTCTGTAGGTCTAATTGAGGCAGGGGTTCCACAAGGCTCTATTCTTGGCCCACTTTTATTTCTTATATTTATTAATGACATAGCAGATATTTTTGAATCAGCGTCTCATCTTTTTGCAGACGATACATCATTACTTAAGTCATCTTCATCTTGTCTAGAAATTCAAGAAACTTTAAATAGAGACCTAGATATCTTAAATACTTGGTCGAAAACCTGGTTGGTTAATTTTAATCCTGAAAAAACAGATGTATTGTTTATTTCGAATTCAATCGATATCGAAGAAGACTTAGATTTAGAATTTGATGGGAAAGTCTTAAATTTTACAGATTGTCATAAACATTTAGGGGTAACTTTTAATTCGAATGCAAAGTGGGGGGATCATGTAAATGGAATTTACACTTCTGTTATGAAAAAAATTAATGTCTTACGGAAACTGAAACTCTTATTAAGTAGGGATGCTCTTTTAATAATTTACAAGACTTTTATTTTACCTGTTTTAGAATATGCTTGTGAGTTGTGGGACGGTTGCACTGTTTTTGAATCTGAAAAGTTAGAAAAAGCCCAACGTGAAGCTGCTCGCATTATATTAGGACTTCCTTCATATACTCCTATTAATACTTTATATTACGAAACTAGTCTTGAAACTTTATCTAATCGCAGAAAACGGAGGAAACTTCAACTATTGTATAAGATGCATAATAAATTAACTCCTGATTACTTCAATCATCTTTTGCCGCCTTTATCTGGAGAAAATAATCGTTACGCTTTACGTAACAATAATAACTATAGGATTCCTCCTTTCAGATTATCTCTTACTAATTCTTCTTTTCTACCTTCTACTCTTCACTATTGGAATAACTTAGACAATTCGGTTCGATCTCTACCCTCTATTAATTCATTCAAATCCTGTTTAACATCAAATATTCAGTCAAGTCCACCTATTTACTTTAAAATCGGAAATCGTAAACTTAATATCTTGCATACTAAACTCCGACACCAGTGCAGTTCCCTTAATTATGACCTTTTTAGAGTTAACCTTGTTGAGAGTGCATCTTGTAATTGTGGTCATCCTTGTGAGAATGTCTTTCACTATTTTATGGAATGTCAACTTTTTACAAACGAAAGACGTATTTTGGTTCAAAATTTGATTAATTTGGATGTTGCGTTAAATTTAGAAATTCTTTTGTTTGGCAATTCACAATTTTCCGTGGACCTTAACTCAAACATTTTTAGATCTGTGCAAAACTTTATTAAATCCAGCAAGAGATTTTGAGTTCAAATTGTAATAACGATTGTATATATTTATTGTCATTATTGTAAGGTCATGTCAAATGTATATTGGGAGAAGGCGTTGATAAGTTGTTATAACTTGTTCCTAATCCCTTGTCTAGTTTTGGCAATAAATATGGTTAAACTAAAACCATCATAGAACAGTGTTATATAACAACTTTAAACCAGTATTATATAACCATCATAAAACATTGTTATATAACAACTTTAAACCAGTATTATATAACCATCATAGAACAGTGTTATATAACAACTTTAAACTAGTGTTATAGAACCATCATAAACTGTTACAATTTTAAACTAGTGTTATATAACTATCATAAAACAGTGTAATAAACAACTCTGAACGAGTGTCACAAGCTAGTGTTATGTTAAACCGCCCTACGCCTGTGCTATGTTAAACCGCCCTTAACCAGTGATATGTTAAACCGTCCTACGCCAGTGTTGTGTCAATCAGCACTAACCCAGTGTCATGTTAAACCGTAATAAACCAGTGCTATGTTAAACCGCTTTTAACCAGTGTTATGTTAAACCGCAATAAACCAGTGCTATATTAAACCGCTTTTAAGCAGTGTTATGTTAAACCGCCCTAATCCAGTGCTATGTTAAACCGTCCTACGCCAGTGTTGTGTCAATCAGCACTAACCCAGTGTCATGTTAAATCGCCATAAACCAGTGCTATGTTAAACCGCTTTTAACCAGTGTTATGTTAAACCGCCCTAAACCAGTGCTATGTTAAAACGCCCAACGCTATTGTTATGTTAAACCGCCCTAACCCAGTGTTATGTTAAACCGCCGTAAACCAGTGTTATGTTAATCCGTCCTAATCCAGTGTTATGTTAAACCGCCCTTAGCCAGTGCTATGCTACACCGCCCTGAACCAGTGTTATGTTAAACCGCCCTAAACCAGTGTTATGTGAAACCGCCATAGGACAGTGTTATGATAAACCGCCATAAATCAGTGTTATGTTAAACCACCCTAAACTAATGTTATGTTAAACCGCCATAAACCAGTGCTATGTTAAAACGCCCTACGCTAGGGTTATGTTAAACCGCCATAAGCCAGTGCTATGTTGAACCGCCCTACGCTAGTGTTATG